AATTTGTGATTTTAATCAAATCTAGTGTTTTTGCGTGAATGGGGTGTGGACTGAAATTAAAGTATGCATAACAGCTCCTGCAAATATGTTATTTTTCCAATTAAATGAATTTTCTGTTTTTTTGTGTTTTGTTTTCTATATATTTGGGCCAAAAGGACATAACTTGTTAGTGGCTAGGTCTTGATCACACAAATAATTTACGTGATTTTATTTTGCGAAAGGTGAACAATTTGAGCTCACATAGAAGTAAGAGTTGTAATTGTTTCAGTATTGTATGTCCAGAGGGTTGACAGTATACTATTTATATAAGCACAGAGTAAACCACTGAACGTTAACATTTGCCACCATTTTTGTCTCAATCTAAATGGGAAGGAAGCGTTGTAAATACGTTGGTGTGCTGCCTTGGTGAATGGACTAATTAAATTACATTATATGTCGTGCGCAAGGTAACCTTGTTTGTGCAATACAGCTACATATACAACATGGCCGCCCTTTTTTCGCCATTATGACTCATACCCAAACAAAAGAAAGCTGTCGTAATCAGCATCCATTGTGCTATATCGTAATTTTGTGCTAAGCCATACAACATAGAGTATATGGTATACGTTTACTAAAAATAAAAATGAATAACAACAATTTTTAACTGGACAAGCTGAAGAAAATGTCACCACGTGTAGTGTTGCCACAGTAACAATTAAATCTGTGTGCACGGATTTTGAAATATGGTATGCTCCCAAATTATCTGATCCAACATGTCATTACCGGTGTTATAACCATGATGACTCAAGAAACACATGTGGCATAAAGTGCTTTTCAAGAATAAAATGTTTGTGAATGTTTCCAGAGGCACTGTGCTGTAAGTTCGATGTGACTTAGTCATTTATGGCAGTACCCGGATGACATTTGTACACTAATTACTAGTGATCCAATATAACTGAAGGAAATGTATTTCATTTTTGTTCATACATCATAAGTGGAGGGGGAGGGGGCAAAAATAGTTTTCTATCTTCCCCAGTCATCGCGTCCACCGTTTCCCTGGTGCAAGAAAATAGAACACTATTTGCCTGGCAAAAACAAGTCACGTGACTCTCTCACTCTCTGCGAGATGTCAGCGGTCATTCACGTCTGAGGTCTATTGAGCATTATATGGCGCAAGGAATAACGGAAATTTCTATCTTTTAAACCTGAGTAAAAAACGTATTGACAAAGTAGACGACAACGCTAATTTGCGCATTTACAATACTTGTTATGTTACTTTGCACATTAGCATCGTCATAAAAAGTCAACATTTCTGAACCATGCTATAGTATTGGTAGTATTTGTTACAGCGAGGAGTACATCGATATGATGAAACATGTCCTGTCAGGACTTCTCTGTAAGCTACGTCACCTTACCTCCACAGAGTGTTCATATACAGAATGTTGGTTAAAGTTGAAATGTTTGATCAAATTATACAACGAATATAACATCTGTTTAGTACAAATTAACCTTGACATATAAAGTTCCACAACATATTTAGAGAATTTGCGCCCCAACTGTAACGGAAAAGGTCTGCCCCCATAACGAATGACAGCAGTATATTTTGCTCAAGGCAAAGTAAGAATGTTCTCGAAGATTGAGTAAAAAGGACGCGCGTTTTGGAAAGGATGGTGAGTTCAAAGGGAAGTAAGTTAAAGAGAGGGAGGGGCAATGTTGAAAACATGGTCGTATTTCATGTTAAGATCACAGCGGTTTTGTACCGTTTAAGGTTAAAACCATTGTTATCCTTACTTAGACTGCACAATCAGGCAAACCATTAACGGTTAATGACGAATTCGGCGCGTTTACAAACAAGTAAATTGAAAAAGGGGGTATAATCATTAAATAATATAAGTGACAATGACAGAGAACTTCTATGTACATTACTAGGTTGAAAATCAACTTTTACCGGCTGGCGTTCTGTACAGCTGTGCTCTCGGACGAAACTTTATTGGTAAAAAATACGTTATATTTGTACATTTAAACGTGCTTACTAGATACAGGCGTTATCAGTTACCATGACAGGGGTAGGATTATTATCAGGACAGAAGTAGAACAGTTACCATGGCAGGGGTAGCACAGTTACCATGGCAGGGGTAGCATAGTTATCATGGCAGGGGTAGCACAGTTACCATGGCAGGGGTAGCACAGTTACCATGGCAGGGGTAGCACAGTTACCATGGCAGGGGTAATACAGTTACCATGGCAGGGGTAGCACAGTTACCATGGCAGGGGTAGCGCAGTTACCATGGCAGGGGTAGCACAGTTACCATGACAGAGGTAACACAGTTACCATGGCAGGGATAGCACAGTTACCATGACAGAGGTAACACAGTTACCATGGCAGGGGTAGCACAGTTACCATGGCAGGGATAGCACAGTTACCATAACAGAGGTAACACAGTTACCATGGCAGGGGTAACACAGTTACCATGACAGAGGTAGCACAGTTACCATGGCAGGGGTAATACAGTTACCAGGGCAGGGGTAATACAGTTACCATGGCAGGGGTAGCACAGTTACCATGGCAGGGGTAGCACAGTTACCATGGCAGGGGTAGCACAGTTACCATGACAGGGGTAGCACAGTCACTATTACAGGGGTAGCACAGTTACCATGACAGGGGTAACACAGTTACCATGACAGGGGTAGCACAATTACCATGGCAGGGGTAGCACAGTTACCATGGCAGGGATAGCACAGTTACCATGGCAGGGGTAGCACAGTTACCATGGCAGGGTCAGCACAGTTACCATGACAGGGGTAGCGCAGTTACCATGGCAGGGGTAGCACAGTTACCATGGCAGGGGTAGCACAGTTACCATGGCAGGGGTAGCACAGTTACCATGGCATAGGTAGCACAGTTACCATGGCAGGGGTAGCACAGTTATCATGGCAGGGGTAGCACAGTTACCATGACAGGGGTAGCACAGTTACCATGGCAGGGTAACACAGTTACCATGGCATGGGTAGCATAGTTACCATGGCAGGATAGCACAGTTACCATGGCAGGGTACCACAGTTACCATGACAGGGTACCACAGTTACC